CTTTCCTTTTCCCTAACTTTAAATGGAGAGCTCAGAGGCTGCCATTTCCTATTAATAGCTAATAATAACAACAATCAGTGTCTTTTATTGAAGGCACCCTGTGAGCCAGGCGCTGTGCTGAGACTGGATGTCCCTGTTTGAACCTCTCCCTCTCTGAACCTGTCTATTGTTTTTTTTATCTTTCTGCAGATGATGAAATGCTGGAGAAGTTAAGCATGTGCAAAGCTACCTTTTAGCGAGTAGCAAAGCAGGAATTCAAAGTCAAGTGTGTCAGATGCTACCGCCCAATTCTTCACCATGTCCTCCCACGTGGACAACAAATGAAGGCACCGATAAGGGGTGAGATCCCTGGGGAGATGATGAAATGGTTGATGCTGTTGCCAGGCGAGAGGAGCCACGGAGTCACAGCTTGGCTTCCAGAACAGTGGTGTCTTTTTCAAAGTCCCGGGAGAGGGCCGGCCACTCTGAAACGGTGTCCAGTTGCTGGGACACCATCCAGGGGACACCCCCTCCCATGGCTGCACCCTTCTCTCCCTCCAGCTCCAATATTTTGTCCCTCAAGAACAGTTGCCTGAAATCTTCCTGTGCACAGCCCCTGGGCAGTTTGACCCGTTAGGCATCACCTGCGTGGTAACAAGGGGTCTCTGTGGTTTTCAGGGACCTACCAAAAGACGGAGGCCTGAAGACGTGATTGTTAGCAAGAAAACCGCAACGTTGAAATCAGTAAATATTTCATTAAATGCAAATGTAACATTATGTCAACTTCATTAACTGTTGGATTTAATCATCATAAAAATTTTATTGCGTTTGATGACAATTTGTAGGTTGGTGTTTGCTCGCTGTGCCAGGGTTCCCGGGGAAGCACCAAGATCGGTGAGAAATCACTGCGGACCGCACGCTAAATAAATTACTCACGGTCAAAGGTTTCCCTAAGCAAGATGGCAATTTCCTTTGATGAAGCCAGGTGGGTGGAGGCTCTGGCTGGAGAACAGGTGGGGAGAACTGACTTCTCCTCTGGCTTTCCTGGTTCCAGAGCAGAAGAGCAAGAATCCCAGAACCCTAAACAATGTAGCTGATGTTCAATGGGCACGTAGCATGGACCAGACGAGCTACTGTAAGCACTGTATGTGTGTCTCAGTGGTCCCAAACAACTCCATAAGGTCAACATTTTATTGTCCCTATTTCACAAATGAGCAAAGTGAAGTCTGAGAGTTTGTACAACCTGCCCAGGGCAATGGGGGGGGGGGGGTAATTTGAGAATTTTTCCGAATTAAAAATAATTTATAGGTGAAATGGTGTCCATGACCATTTCAAGCTCTAAAATAGGCAGGGACCAGGCCTATTTTCATTACTGTTCTGTCTTCAGAACCTCGAACACTACTGGGCACGTAGATATGTATGGGCTGGAGGGACATAACTACATGTTGAATGGAGACTGGGCTAAGTGCAGTTTTCCCTACACCTGCTGTGTGCCAGGCACCTATGGGATGCTTTGCTGTCCTCACTGGCCTGTGACAATGTCTAGGCTACAGGTCTTATTCATCTCCCAGGCCCACACCTTGTGCAATCTTGGCCCATGAAAAGGCTTAGTTGATGATTTCAGTTCATTCCTTCACAGAGCAATTTCGGAGTATAGCTGAAGGTCTTCCTTCCTATGCATAGCACAAAATTTGTTATTTAAAAACTCCAGTGGTACGCATTTCAATGTGATCAAGAAAACGAATAAACAGCCTTTTTTTTTTTTTTTTTTATGTGCTAGGTGTGGTTCTTGGAACTTTCCACATGTTAAGTAATTACTTAATAACAAAGCATGTACAACAATTCTACAAAATGGGTGGTTTTTAAATTATCCTCCCATTTTACAGATGAGAGGACCCAGTGTTATGAGGACCCAGTGTCTCCTCCCAAATTCCTATGTTGTAGTCCTAAAGCCCAGTACCTCAGAATGTGACTATTTAGAGAGAGGACCTTTAAGGAGTGGTTTTAAGGTAAAATGAGGTCATCAGAGTGGGCGCTAATCCAATACCAGTGTCCTTATAAGAAGAGAAGAGGACACAGACATGCACAGAAGGAAGACCATGTGAAGACACAGGGAGACGACAGCGGTGATAAGCCGGTAGAATTGCTGACACTTGATCTTGGACTCCCAGCCCCCAGAACTGTGAGGAAATCCATCTCTGTGGTTCAAGCGCCCATCTGTAGGACCCTGTTGTGGCTGCCCTAGCAAACTGATCACCAAGGCATAGAGGAACTTGCCCAAGACTGCATTGCCAGGAAACATGAACTCAGAATTTGAACCCAGGTAGTCTGGTTCTAAAGTCTGTTTGGTTTGTGATCATAAAACTATTCTCTGTACTGGCCAGTAGGATCGCCAGAAGCCACATGTGGTCCTTCAAATGTGGTGGATGTCACCAAGGAACTGAAATTTTAATCTAATGTACATTAAAATAAAATAAAAAATAAGTAGCCACAGTGGCTAGTGGTGACCGTATTGGGCATAACTTTTTACTATTTCTAAGCACATAATTTATTTTTTTTGCAGAATCTTCTAGAAACCTCTCCTGTGTGCTCCAAAAACCATGCCCCTATCTTTGTCCCCATCCCCGCTGTATGTTATCGTGAGCTGGCTAATTTTCCAGAATCTCGTGTCCGGGTGGTGCGGGGATGCTGGAGTTCGCTCCAGACACGGGTGTTAGCCAACCAAATGCCAAGCAGCACAAACACGCAGTGACATTTTCCGAACTATTAATATTTCATCAGAAATGATCACTTTTCCTTTAAATACACTATTTTAAAAGGTTTTTCTACATTCTTAACTATAATTTTATTCAGTCTAGGTCCTTGGAATTTTCCCCAAAGGAACACATCTTCAGTTTTATAATGAAAATCAAAGGGGAATGAAGCTCGAATTTCAAAATTTAGTCAACATTTCTAGGAACGTCGGCCTTCTGTAGAGAGCGAGATTGTGTATTGGGCACCTACTGTATGCCCAGTACTTTCTATACAGCACCCTACTAATTTATCCAACACATGTATTGAGTGCCCCATAGATGCCATAAGTGTGATCTTTATAGTAATGTATTAATACCATTTTAGAGAAGAGAATTCCTCTCATCCTTCTATTTCCTCTCCAATGTTGTTGCCTCCTCTAAGAAGCCTGCCTGGACCACCACCTAAAGTTGCCACGATTCCTCTCCCCGTTGCCCCGCTTTGGCTGTGAGTTTCTACCACAGCCCTTATGGCATCTGTAATTACTGCTAAATTACTTGCTTTGTGATCCACCTCCCTGCACTGGAATATAGGCTCCATGAGAGCAGGGACAACACCGGTTTTGTCCACCTCCGCTTCCTAGGTGCCCAGCAGCGCACCTGGCACAGAGGAAGGGCTGTGCCAGTATTTGGGGAATGGACGAAGGAGGGTGGGAGAAGTGGAGAAAGTGGTGAGTCACACAGGTAGGAGGAAGTGGAGTGTCAGATTCAACCCTGCATCCACAGGCGCCACCTCCTCTATTCACATCTGTTTTCCTGCCCACCCTCTGGCTCTTCCTTTATTGGGGAAATACTGAGGGCACAGCAGGGGCTCCTGGAGCCCAGGATCCCCAGCATCCCGCAGGAAGACCTGCTGTCAGCTCTGAGTTTAACTCCTTCAGAGAGGGCAGGAGCCCACTGAGCCCACTGAACTTAGGGTTTCTTGCTGCACCTCCATGTGGGATCCCCACTCCCAGCGGCTCACTGCCCACCTACCGCTGGGGCCCCTGAACCCAGAGCAGGAGGGAATGGTCTCTCTCGGTGGCTGAGAGCCTGGGGTCTGGCGGGGGTGCGGTGTGGGGGCCTGGGGAGGGGCCTGGGTTTGGATCAGCTCCTCCCTTCTGGTGGGCCTTGGACACACCCCTTTATCACGTGGATACTGTTTCCTCAAATGTAGACCGATAAAAAGCAATGGTACTAACTTCATGAGCTTGTTTTGATTGAATATGACACACAGAAAGCCCGGCGCGTGGCACACAGTCAGCGCCAATGCAAATGGCAGTTAAGGGGAAAACCGGGCGATCGAGGGGCAGGGCCCCGGCAGGCAGGTTTGTGCGGAGGGGCAGGGCAGGCCGGGTTCGGTACTTTCGCCTTCCAGGAGGGGAAAGCGCTCCGGGGTCCTCTGGGCCCCCACCTCGCCCCCATCCCTCTGGAGGGCCTGGGACGCTGAACCGGCGCCCGCGCACGGAGCCGTTGCGTTGAAGCCCGCAGAGGAGTTCCAGCGCCGGACGAGCGGAAGGTGTGGGGGCCGCCGGCGCGCCAGACTGCTCCCTTTTCAGGGCGTGGCCGCGGGGCGCGGCAGGTGTCTGCTGGGGGCGCCGGCCTGGGCGGGCTGTGGGCCCTGGACACTGGGACGCTTTCCCGCCAGGAGCCAAAGAGGGGGCCAGGAGGAGAGAGAGCAGGGCGAGCGAGGCAGGGCTGGGCCGGCAAGGGAGAGGCAGTTGGCCCTGGGGGGTGCGCAGGGGGTCCCTAGGAAGGCCTGTGTGAGAGCCCAATGGAGGGCTCCTGCCCTCAAGGTGCCTAGCACGGTGCCTGGCCCTCATCCAGTCGCCCTCGAGGTTTAGCGGGTGAGAATGGGCTGAGCCCCAGGCGCTGCAAGGTGTCGCAGGTGTGTGGCAACTGGGGTGTGCCAGGGATTGTGGGAGAGCCAGCCCTCCCCTTCCAGCTGTTCCCAGATGTCATTCTGCCCACCCAGGCACCTGAATCCTGATTTCAGGGGTATCCCAAGGTTACTAAGCTACTGGTTTTTGTTGACTTTTAAATATTTTCTTCTCAGGGAGAGGGGGAGAGGGACAAAAGTCAGAAAAGAGCAAATAAAAACAAATCAAAATAAGCTCCCCCTCCCCAAGAGAAAGCCGACCTCCATCCACCACTGGTACACATATCGGAGGCCTCTGAACACGGTCACCTTGCTGGAGCCTCAGGAGACAGAACTGAACTGCTCTGGCCCATCCCCCTCCCCCTTTCTGGTGAATGAAGGGCGGTGGTGGATGGTCCCCCTGTCTTAGAGCCCTGGGTGGACAAAGGGGCTTCCAGAAAGACAGGAGCAGGATGGCCAGTGGAAATGGGCTTCCCTCGTCCTCCACCCTGGTGGCCAAGCGCCCCTCCGCCCTGGGACCGTTTCCCAGATACATCTGGATTCACCAGGACACCCCCCAAGACAGCCTAGACAAGGCCTGCCATGAGATCTGGAAGAGGGTTCAGGGCCTGCCCGAGGCCTTGCAGCCCTCGACCTTGAAGGAGCAGCGCTCTGCCCCCCTGGCCGGAACTCCAACAGACAACGGGCTCAGCTTCCAAGAAGAGTGAGTGTCCCCTACACGGCTGGTACCACGGGAGGAGGGTGGAGATGAGGTCAGACCTCCCGGGGGAATGTTCTGGCTCATTCTTCAGTTTGGTTAAACTCTACAGGCCGTTCACCCCCTCCCCCATAGTCCTTTGTCCAGTGTTTGTAGGAGAGCTTAACTGGGGTCCCGAAGCTACCTGGGGGAAGGCCAGGCCAAGGCTCTCTTTCTACTGCCTCTTCACTAGCCCACCGAGGGCATAAGTCTCATCCTACAGGCATGAACAACCAGATGTGAATCTGAGGACCTTGAAAAACCCGCCTAGCCAGGGCCAAGGGTCAGGTGCCCATGCTTTGCCCAAAGGCAGCTGGAAGATTCCTCCTCCCTCCCGCCTCCAAAGGCGAGGCATTGGTGGTTTTAAACCACATCTGGAACTCCCTAACACAGGGAGCAGCTGTCCCATTCAGACTCCACGGAAGCTGCTGCAAGAGCGTACATCAAAATATTTACTGGGAAGGCATTGACATACTCAGAGGACATAATAGAAAATTAAAGTGTGGGGAGATGGCTGGAAATAGCCCGATTCCTGGATGGGAAATCCTGCGCCTGGGAAACACGGAGCTAAATGGTTCTCCACCAGGGCAAAGTTGAGCAGATATTATGGGGGATGGATATTCACAAGGAGAGGAAGGGGGACCTGGTTAGGAAAAGCAAGTCAGTTTGCTGTGGTTATCAGTGCCACTGTTGAGCACCTGCTCAGTGCTTTGCATCTTCAAAGTGGGCCGCGAACATTAATTAATCCTCCCAGAGCCCCTATGAGACAGGTATTAGTGTCCCCATTTTACAGATGGATTAAGTGTTAATAATTAAGTGCTAATTAATGACTAAGTGATAATGAAGTGTTGCCTGTTCCAACACATGCTCTGGCTCAGTGCAGAGATGCGCTGGAGTGGGGGAACCATGCAGGCAATTATCGGATGCGTCGGCTTGCGGGGTTTCTAGGCAAGAGCTCAGAAGAAAGGCGACGTGTGACTGCCGCCCAGCTCTGCCCTACCTGCCGCCCCTTTTTGGCTGTTACTGCTTTCGCTGCCCTGAGCTCAGCACGACATGGCTGGGATGAGAACGGCTTGACTGCCACCAAAATCTTGCTGTCCGGCTCTACAGTGGCACCGGACATCTCTCCCCTGCCCATTGCCGTCTGCTCCGGGACAGGGTCTTGGCAGGGGACCCCTGGGGCTGTGATCAGGCTCTCAGTGGTCAGGGAGCTGATTGTCCACTTGGTGAACCAGGGTCAGTGGCAATTTCCAGTAGATGGCACCCTCTCTGCCAGGTCACACCTAGTTAATGGAGACAGACTCTATTTCCTGTCTGCACTTGGCCGAAAAGTGAACTGGCGCACCTTTGGCCAGTCACTTAATTCCATTTGGCCTTGTTTTTCTCATCTGCAAATTGAGGATGATATGCCCTCCCTTGTCCACCTCAGAGCTGATAATGAGGATCAGATGTGATGGGAGACGGGAGACTGAAAACTGCATTATACTGCATTATACAAATGAGGCGCTCCTTAAGAGTAATTCTCGGGATTCAGGTTTTCTTGTTGTTGGCTTCCATCTGGAATTCTCACGCTATGCTCCTGGACCCTAGGGTGCTGCAGGGGTCACCCGGAGTCAAGTGGCCTGGTGGCTGGGTCCCAATGCCCCCTTCAGCCAGAGCTGTTCTGCATGTGTAGCTTTTACTTGCTGGAGTTCTGAGTAAAGACTGCATTTGAAAAAAAGTGTTCTGCTACTGAGAAAAGAGCTGGGAAACCACTGACTTGGATGAATAAATGATATCACAGTCGTGTGGCTGGATATCAACCAAGTAGAGCACAATGAGCTCTTGAAAGAAAGGCAGCTGCCAGGGTGGAGCAGGACACCTGTTTTAGATGGCCCTGCAGCCCTGGGCCAGCTGCGGGATCGGTCTAACGTGCCTGGGCTTCGGTCTCTTCATCTGCCAAGCGGAGGTGATTACTGTGCATTTCATAGGGTTGTGGGGAGGATTCAATCGGATATTTAAACATTCCTGGTAATAACTAAGACTGGCAAAAATTCCTCGTCATGATGATGATGATGATGATTTCCTCAAGCCCTACCAGTATTATATATGAGGTAGGGACTATTTTACACCCCCCCCCTCTTTTTACTTTTTATTATGCAAATCTTCAAGCATATCAAAATCGCAAAGTGAATGTCCTTGTGTCTGTCACTGAATTTCATGATCAAATGTGTGCCATTCTTGTTTCAATTTCTCCTTTCCCTGTTTTGAAGTGAAATCCCTTTCACACCTGAGATAACACGTTTGGAGGGGTTAATTTCTTTGCCTGAGGCCCGACAGTTAGGAAGTGGTGGGGTGTCAGAAAGCACACCCAGGACCGTCTTAGGCACCACATGGTAGTATTGACTATCTTCCCCTAGAAATTGAAGCATCTGTTTGGATAGTCAACATATTTGGTAGTCCCATACTTGAGTGATCACACATAGATACCAGGTTTCAAATCCAGGGAGCTGTCCAGCGTGGTTTAGGATGGCTTCAGGCCCTTAAGACCCCTCTGAGCTAGTCTTCCTCCTGCTTAATCTGTAGGCCTGGTTTTGGTGGTGTTTTCTGCTATGGGACAGCTAGATAAGTATGTTCTAGAGCTATTGTTAGCCAGACTTTTTTTTTTCTCGACTATGTCACTATGTATTTCAGAAACGCAGACATCTCAAGTTTGAAAGGGATCTTGGAGATCATCATCTGCTGCTTGAGTCCCTCCTCAACATCCTTGCCAAGTGCCTATCCACTTTTACACTTCCTTCGATGGGGAGCTCACCACTTCCTAGAGTAGTCCTTCCCCTTGTTGTGGACCCTGACTGTCAAAAGACCACTTTCTTCTTGCACTGAAATCTGTCTCTATCAGACTAACACCCATTGATCTGGATTCTGCCCTAAGGCTTCCAAACCAAGTTAATCCCCTATTTTTCTCAATAGCTCTTTAGATGTTAAAAGAAGGCAACACTATTTCTCCTAGGATTTTATGTTTTTACAAGCTGAATTTCTCTGGTTTTCTAAGTCTCCCGTCACGTGCCAGCTTGGTCAGTTTCCTGCCCACACAGCTGGCTGGCCCTGTGGCGGTGCAGCGGTCAGAACCAGGTACAGTAATCCAAGCATGAGCCCATCTGTGCAGGCTGAATCCTCCCTGCTAACAGTCTGTATTCGTGGCGATGGTGATTAATGCCAGGCGTTTCTCCCCAAGCCAACTTCACTCTGTGGGCACATTTTGAGTTTATTCATTCAATTATTTATTCAGCAAATATTACTAAGCATCTACTCTGTGCCTGGCACAGTGCTAAGAGCTGGTGGGATAGAGCTGTGAACCAGGTGGGGCCCTGCCTTCCTACTTCCATTCAAGTAGGGGAGAAACAGAAAACAGGTAACTGACAGACTCAGATAACTTCAGATGTAAAAAGAACTAATGTTCTAGTTGGAGGTAACCAATAATAAACATATAAGAATAACCCAAATGATTTCAGACAGTGATGAGTGCGCTGATAGAAATAAAACCACATAAAGTACTAGGGAGAGTGTCTTAGAGGTCGTGGTCAGGGAATGGCTCTCTGAGAAGAGCAAGTCATTTGAGCCGAGACCTGGATACCCAGAAGGAGCCAGTCAGGTGAAGATCTGGGGAACGAAGTCCAGGCAGAAAGAAGAGCAACTGCAGAACCCTGAGGTGGGAGCAGCTTAAAGAGGGACAGCATGGCTGAGGTGTATGGAGTGATGGGACATGGGACAAGGTGATATCAGCAACAAGCATGCAAAGTCTTAGAAAGCCTGGAAGATCACTGTAAGGAGTTTATATTTGATTCTCCATGCTATGGACACCCGTTGGAGGTTAGGGGGAAGGGAGTGTATTTTGATCAGATTTATTCATTTTTAAAGACCTCTCCAGCTGCTACATGGAGAGGGTCTGCAGGCAGGTGAGAGAGGAAGTTGGGAGACCTCTGGGAAGATACTTCACTAAACCAGGAGAGGTAGTTGGCAGTGCCTGGGTCAGAGACTGCAGTGGGGATGGGAAAAGTGGGGGACTCGGTGTGCATTTTGAGAGGGACCAACAGATCCGCTGATGGTTTGGGGTACACAAACAGATATCAGGTCTGACTTGAGGGTTTTGCCTTGAGCCTCTGATTGGATAATGGTGCCATTTATGGAGGTGGAGAAGAACCAGGAAGAAATTGGCTTTTGGTAAGAAATCAATAGTTTTGTCTATTGTCAATTAAACTCCAGAATTGTGTTCAGTTATCTTTTAATTAGTCTTAAATTCGGGCTTAGAGAATTGTGGCCAGCCACTCCCTGACTCATATTCTAGGATTCCTTATTCATTCATTCCTCCTCATCACTACAACTGCACAGCCTCAGTAGATGGCTTTGGATTTGCTGTTGACTCCATTGCCCTTGGTATTTTTTCATTCCCTCATTTAAGGCTTCATTCAACAAACACTCACAGTTGCCTTCTCAGTGCCAGGGAACAAGCCAATCCTCTGTGCTGCTGTTATTTAAACAATCCCATGTATCCTATTTTTTTTCTAGAAAAGTTGCTTGGAATATACCCCAACTTTTATTTATTATTATTATTTTTTTAAAAGCCTAACACCTGGTGATGAGAGTGATAAGACTCACAGTTGGAAACGTAGACTGATGCTGTAGAGCAGAAGCCAGCTCTGAGCCCAGAGCTCTAGGCTTGTGTTTTCTCCCCTCGAGGGGTTACACACTTCAATGGGAATCTGGAACGCTGCTACGTACCCTTATGCCTGAAACACATCTTCGTATCCCTCAACATTTTTTGAATGACTTCCAAGACCCCCTGGGACCCAGGTTTGAATCCTTTTCTCTTGGACCCAACACTTAAGTGTCATCATCCCCCTGAGCTTCCCTGGACCGAGTCTCAGCCTTTGCTTTGACCCCAATCACACTGACATCAATGCACCCCCATCCCGGTTGTCAAGCGA